GATCTTCATTTTAGTTTCAAAACTCTCAATTCTTCCCTTAAACTCTTTTTTTCATTTCTTTCTTATTTACTTCTGAATGATTTAATAAAATATATTCCAATTTTTCCCAATTTACTTTCAAACCTACAGTGGTGCCTCGCTTTACGATTGCCCCGTTTAATGACGAAACCGCATTACGATGAACTTTTTGCAATAGCAAAACAATGTTTCCTATGGGGGAATTTCGCTTTGCGATGATCGGTTCCCTGCTTTGGGAACCGATTCTTCCCCAAACGACAATTTTCCAACAGCTGATTGGTGGTTTAAAAATGGCCACCAGATAAACAAAATGGCTGTTTTCTGGGACCGATACCTCGCTGCACAGGCAGCGAAAATGGCCACCCTATGGAGAATCTTCGCTGGACGGTGAGTTTACAGCTCTTTGGAATGCATTTAAACGGGTTTTAATGCATTTCGATGGGTTTTTTCTTTCTGGATTATGACGTTTTCGTTCTACAGCCTTTATCTTCTATCTGCAGAACAAGAGTTTTTAAAAGTTTGTTTGGAGATTAAGAAGCTTCTCTGTGGCTGCATACTTAATCTCAGTCAGATATATTTCTGCATATATACATGCAAAATCGTCAAAGCTATGGTTTTTCCTGTAGTGTTGTATGGAAGTGAGAGCTGGACCATAAAGAAAGCTGACCGCCGAAGAATTGATGCCTTTGAATTGTGGTGCTGGAGGAGACTCTTGAGAGTTCCCTGGACTGCAAAGAGAACAAACCTATCAATTCTAAAGGAAATCAACCCCGAGTGCTCATTGGAAGGACAGATCCTGAAGCTGAGGCTCCAGTACTTTGGCCATCTCATGAGAAGAGAAGACTCCTTGGAAAAGACTTTGATGTTGGGAAAGTGTGAAGGCAAGAGGAGAAGGGGACGACCGAGGATGAGATGGTTGGACAGTGTCATCGAAGCAACCAACATGAATTACAACTCCGGGAGACGGTGGAAGATCGGAGGGCCTGGCGTGCTCTGGTCCATGGGGTCACGAGGAGTCGGACACGACTAAACGACTGAACACACACATGCAAAATCTGAATGAAATGAAGGAAGTACCAAAATGGAGAGATAAATAGTTCAGTGTTTGTTGTTATGTGCCGTCAAGTCAAAACATCAGAAATGTAGTGTCTGTTTACTTGTGGTAAATTGTTGATTTACTGTTGAGCACTAAGTTGAAGTTAGCTTCTTGCATCTAATAATAGAATTATAAAGTTTTTCTCCTTAAAATGATTGTGTTTAAATGTTTCAATCTTATTGTTTATGTTTTTGTAAAGGCCGTCTTCAGTTGCAAGCAGACCGTCATCAGCAGCATATTAGAACGAGGGATTCATTAATACAGTCTTTGGCAGCTCAGTTGGAACTGGAGGGATTTGGAAAAGCACCTTTTAATGAGAGGCAAATTAATAGTTTCCACAGGCTTGTGAAAGAAAGACAGGATAAAGACATGGAAGCAGCGAATCAGTTGATGGTAAGAATGTTGTGATATGACTTGGTGAATGCAACAGGAAAAAGGACTACATTCTGAATTTGCAGAGATGCTACACTATAAGCATATGTACCTGCTTCACAAAGTACTGAAGCAGTGAGACTTCTGAGTAAATTCTAGAATCCATTGATAGTATGGACTCCCAAGGCAAGGTGGGATATGCCTTTGAGTCGACTTCCTGTTTGATAATAAATTGGGGGGGAAGGAGATGAAAGTGATCAGAGAGTTGTACTAAGAAGTAGTGGCTGCCTTGTGTTCGAAAGAGGTAATGATGAGTAGCAACAGGACCACTTGCCGCCCATGGGCACACTTTGCTGAAGAACCTCATCTTTTGTTGGTATAATCCAGGCATAAAATATTTAAAGAGAAAAGCCTTACATTTGTGTGTGTGTTTTGTCCCATTTTCAGAGTGTAGCAGAGGGAATATTGTACTTGGGATCCTCTGGAGTTTCCGGTCAAGATATGCTTAGAATCCATAGCCTTTGTGTAATTACCTTTCATGTTTTTCAGAGAGAATTTGAGGAGAAAGAAGCAATGAAGCAGAATCAGCTTGATGAAATCAGGGATAGAAAAACTGGACTTGAAAGAACCATTGACCTGAAGTCAGATATTCAACATAAGAAGCAGTTTGAATTAAAGAACCTGAAACATGAGTTACTTCAGCTTGAAGGGTCTTCGGATAGGCTCCTGGAACTTGATCAGGAACTGACCAAAGCAGTAAGATTTAATTTTTATCACATCAGTCTTCCCACTTTTGTATTGAGCAGTCAACAACAACAACAAAAAATTCCCCCTTCTAAATGTCCTTTCTGTATTATTGGAAATCTTACAGTGATGTTGCCATAGCTGTGCTGTAGGTTACAATTGTATTGACTTTATTAATGATTTGAGATCCTCAGAGGCAACATGTAACAGGAATCTATCTGTCTGTATGCTAGTTGTGTTTGATGTACTGTACATAGTAGCAGACACAGTTATGGGAAGTCAGACTTTGTTCTTGGTATACAGGCTCTTATTGCCAGGCCAGGAGATAAAGTAGGACTGAAACACAGGCTAGTATGGTCCCCCTCACTGTGTTTAGGCTCTGCATATTTGGTATGCTCAGTTACTATTAAACAGATTTTACTGGACCAAAATCCCCCTGAAGAAGGCCCTCATGTTCATGGAGGGCTGAATGTGATATATTCATCTGAGATTTATTTTGCCCTTGGCTTTGATGTTTTGGGAATGCTTGCTGGATTCAGTTTATTTCTTCCCACCCCCCATGTTATTTTAATCCATAGTGGGGCAGAATTGGTTGTTAATAAGTTTTATATTACTTCTTAGCTACATCACAGTCTCACCTTCAAGAAGCTACATGCCACCTTGGCAACAAATAAAATAAAAATGTTGAAATTCTCCCTTTCCCTTTTATTACCTCATATTGATATACAGCAGCGGCCGCAGCTTCTGCTAAGGCAGATAAATCTGTATCTGGACTGTATTGCTTCAAATTGCTTGCAGGGATTAACATCACCCCCCTCCCCCAATACAATATGTTCTCCATGGAAAACAAATCCAGGAGAATGACTGTATCCTTGCTGTCCTCTGAATTCCTATTTCTCTTTGTGCAAGATACTCTTTTGTAGGGAGGAGTGTGCAACTATGCAAGCCACCACTGCAGTCTGAATAGTATATGTTGGACTTAACTTTTATTTTAACATTGAGAAATAACTAGCAGATGAGAAAGAGCTTCTTCAACACCACAAAGTATGTTTTGCACCCTTGGCTAGTTTTCCCTTCTGAGAACAGCATTCCAGTTTTTACCATCTTCTATACATATTAACATCCTCCTTACAAATTTTACAAAGTCTGCTTGCCTTTATTTTTCTGTTTAGAAATGTGAACTAGGTGAAGCTGAGAGGAACTGCAACACTGAAGCCTTAGAAATGGAAATACAAGAGCTTCAGAGAGAGAAGGCAAATCTGGATGGCATTCTTCGGAAACTGGATAAAGAAATGGAACAGTTGAACTTAAATACTGCAATAATCACCCAAATGGACATGCTAAAGAAAGATAAAGTAGTGCATTTTTCCTGATACTGCTGATTGTACTAGAATACATAGAATATATTTGGTACTATGTTAAACTAATACCCACCTAAGACAAAATCCATTCTTTAGCACTGCATGAATGAGTCATAGTTTTGTAACTTGAAACAAAATGGTGAATTTTGGTTTGTCTTAAGGGAGAAAGTTGTAGTGCACAAAGAATGTACTTACCTAGGATTTGCTCTGATACTAGAATCAGTCTCCTGCTTTCAGAATTACTGAGGTTTTGCATGCTTATTCATGATTTTGAAACTAGTTTTTTTTTTCTATCTACATTTAAAGGCTGACAAAGAGGAACAAATCAGAAAAATAAAAGCCAGACACAACGAAGAGTTAATCTCCTTGCTTGGATATTTTCCAAACAAAAAGCAACTTGAAGATTCAATTCATGCTAAAAGTAAAGAAATTAATCAGACAAGAGACAGACTTGCCAAGCTCAAGTAAGTCGTTATTTGGGTGAAATGTGCCTATATATTGATGCACTATTTGGGTGATATAACAATTAAATGACTTTTTCAGTTTTCTGGACACTAAAAAAAAAGTAGTCTCTGTCTGCTAAGAAGGAGCCATCCACAAATGGGTTAACTCCTGTTGTAGCCCAAGAAGAGCAAGAGCCAAAGGTCTAAATTTTTGGCTGTTTATAAGGTGGACCACATGCTGCGCCCCCCAGTTCGAGGAAAGTCCCCGCTCGGCCTTTATTCTTTCACTTTTTCTCCTCTCCCTTAAAGAAGAAGCAAACCAAACCACTGCTATCCTTTGTCCTTCTCTTCCTGCTCGTTCTTCCTCCATGGCTCCTTTCCCACAGCTGCAGGTGGGAAGGCATCTGGGAAGAGAGCTTGAACTTGAACACACCAAAGCTCTGAAGCAGACCCGCATCATGAAGGAGCTCTGCAGTGGCCCAACCGCTCCCTTTGGGTGCTGTCTGGCAGCACACAGCCAGGCTTCTGCCTCAGCGGGTGAGGCAGAGTCGCTTGCCTGCCTCGGCCTTTCTGCCCTGTGTGTAATGTTTATCGCCGCCTAGAGTGATCTGTTAGGCCAGATAGGCGGGGTATAAATCAAATAAATAATAATAATCGCTGCTACGGATTCTCTGCTCACCTCTGGTGCAGTAACCGGCCTTCCCCTCAGAGATGGGATTTTCCGAAAACAGAGAGTCAGTGTCCTGCGCGCTTGTCCTGTCAGGCAGCTCAGGGCAATTGCTTCTGCAGGGCAGATCCAGGCACAGAGAATGAAGATCTTTCTTTGTCAGATATTGTATTGGAAGAAGAAGGTTTGGAAGGAGGAGCTTTCGACTCCTTATTTTTAAAAATTTCCAGCCTTCCAACCATAACACAATTGTGGAATGGTCCCCTAAATTATGAAAATCCCCACCATTTCCCTTTCTCTCCTAACATTTCCTGTGATTTTTTTTTTTTTGCCTTCCTCGTTTATTCTCTCATGTCTGCTCCTGAGACTTTTTGAGTTACAGACTTCTCTGGCCGCAAAATTTAGGTTTGACTTGCAGACTGAGATTTGACTTACAGACCAGAAAAAAAACGAAAATGGAACAAAAACGGCCTGTTACGGGATTAATCGGTTTTCAATGCACTGTAGGTCAATGGAGACTTGACTTACAGACTTTTTGACTTGAGAACCGCCTTCCAATACGGATTAAGTTCTCAAGTCAAGACCCCACTGTACTTGCATTGCCTCGGGCTTTTAATGGGTATGAGCTGTGGGGGGAACTTGCCGAGGGAGCATCCCTGAAAAATACTGTTCATTCACAACCGACAGGTGAGCTAGAACCTTGATGGTTCAGACTTCAGGAAAAAGTCTTCTCCTCTTTTACTCAAATCCATTATGTCAGTACCTCCTCCTTGGAATGAGGGGGATTCGTTACTCAGTGAGCGTTCCCCCTGCTGTACCTAAACCTCTCCTTCCCTCAGCCATCTGAGGGTCCTAATGCTTCCTCTCTGATTCCCAAAGTGTTAGGGAAGTTTGCTTTACTAATGTCGCTGAATCTTGATATGAAGTGGATGGTAAGCAATGAAAGTTCAGCCCAAACAAACCTTCCAAAGAAAGGCTGTTTAATTTAGAGGGCTTTATTTGACTTTTAAACAAAGTTGTTGCCGTTTTTGGTCTCCCAAGACTGCTTTTTTTTTGTCTCCAACTTCAAAGCAAGAAGACTCAAACACTTCAGCTTCTTCTTTATAAGTGGAAGACCCCAGTGTGGCAGCTCAGCCCTCTGATGCTGGGTATGCCATATTTCCAGAATCCAAGGTTTCTTCCAGGAACACATCTGTTTGATGATGTCATGAGAGCAGAATCTCCTGCAAGACAAAGGGGGAAATATAGCGAAGAAATCATATTCTCCCACATTTAAGGTTATGGAAGATGTTAAAGTTGTCTTGGTGGAATCCCCATTTCTACTCACCCAAGGAAGGCAAGATAAATTATGCCAGCAAGAAGAGCACCAAGTCAGTCTCACACAAAGCCAGTGAGACCTTTGCCTTAGCTTGTGCCTCTGTGCCTTGGATCAAAGGCTCATTCACTGAACCAGATTTAGGCTCTGAGACATTGCACCATACCCCTGTTAAATGGTACAGAGCTCACCCCTTGGTAGCTATGCAGTGCTAGATTTTCCTTATCTTCACAGCCAGGGCCATTAGTGTTTGCTTTCATAGCTAGATTTGTAAGTTATAGGAAGGAGGCTTGTCTAAAGCAATGAAAAGCTACTGCTCCCTTCAGGGCCAGTTTAATAGGGGTTCCCTTCAAGGGGTTCTGCCTGCACTCAGAGACACCCAGTCACCAGAGTAACCAAGAACACAACACCAAGAACAACAAGAGAAAAAAAGCCCCAAGCTTTGCCTTTTGTTGTTTAGTCATTAAGTCATGTCCAACTCTTCGTGACCCCATGGACCAGAGCACGACAGGCCCTCCTGTCTTCCACGGCCTCCCGGAGTTGTGTCAATTTCATGTTGGTCGCTACGATGACACTGTCCAACCATCTCATCCTCTGTCGTCCCCTTCTCCTCTTGCCTTCACATTTTCCCACCATCAGGATCTTTTCCAGGGAGTCTTCTCATGAGATGGCCAAAGTATTGGAGCCTCAGTTTTAGGATCTGTCCTTCCAATGAGCACTCAGGCTTGATTTCCTTCAGAATGGATAGTTTTGTTCTCCTTGCAGTCCAGGGGACTCTCTTTGCCCTACCAACCACAACAACCACCCATACAACCCAGTGGCACACAGTCACAGTCACAAAGTCTACCCCCTGGCTTACACACCCAAACAAAGGAGTCCCCCTCCCCCGAATTCACCAAAATAAACTCTTTCAATATGGGTGGCTTTTTTGCTTCAGACAGAATGGAATATTTTGAAGACTTAATATGAAAGGCCATCCTTTTCTGCAAAAAAGGACATGTCCAAACCCTTCCAGTTAATGATGCATTTACTATCCCATAATATTATTCACCAATTCACTCTTTTATACTGTAGTCAAAGAGTGGTCATGTAGACCAGATGGGCGGGGTATAAATCAAATCAATCAATCTCGTTTTTGGTTCACTGTTCTCTTTGTTTGGCCAAGTCAGAACTGGGGACAGAGCATGTGGTCTGTCCTACAAACAGTCAAAAATTTAAACACAGCCTTTCTTCTCCTGGGTGGCAGTCATTGTTGTCGTTTAGTCGTGTCCGACTCTTCGTGACCCCATGGACCAGAGCACGCCAGGCCCTCCTGTCTTCCACTGCTTCCCGTAGTTGTGTCAATTTCATGTTGGTTGCTTCGCAGACACTGTCCAGCCATCTCATCCTCTGTCGTCCCCTTCTCCTCTTGACGTCACACTGGGTGGCAGTAGGAGTTAACAATTCATGTATAGCTCCATCTCTGTGGAAAAAGAATGCACTTTGATGCTAAGAGTCTGCTAGTTACCCAGTACAAAAGAATTGCTGCTCATTGTGGTGAATCTCACCATTTAAATAGTTATTACATAGTGGGCTTTATGTGCTTCACTATTAAGTTAGCAAAAAGTATCCCTCTAAGAAGAATCATGAAAACCAAATCAGTGTTTGTACCAAAACCAACAGCATTGCAAAATCTGTTCAGAGCTACAACTAGCAATGTGTGCTGGAAACAGTACATCTTAGCCACAGCTTTGACTGCCTTCATGCCACCATGTAAAGCATGTGGCACTAATCTCACCTTGATATGAGTCAGACATAAATAACTTCAGGCAGGTCTGACCGAAAATCTGTAGTATGTCCTACTTCTTTACTGTATCCTACTTTGGCTCACAGGAATTGGGAATAATTGGCTATGCTTGTGCCAGTGGAGACTGGCCATCATTTGTGCTTCTGACTGTACTGGTGGAGTTGGACCTTGGCAGATGATAAGAGTCAGGTGGGGGATAGGTTCTTAGGTAACTCTTGAGTCTGCTTGAGCTTCGACAGTCAAAGCAGGACTGTAAGAAAGGAAGTAGAGGAGGCAGAAACGCCCAAGAGATTAGGAAGTAGAGGAAGGAAGAAAATAGACAGACATGGGGCAGTGGTATGACCAAGATGGGAAATTTTCCTGTGGTTTGTTGTTTGAGTAGCTGAATGGAGAGGAGGGGGAGGAATGACTGTGCCTTAGAATTTACCAACCAAAGTGTTACCGCAGACCTTTTGTTAGAAAGCCTTGCATCTTGCCCATTCTCTTGTAAAAGCGTTAATTCTTGGAATTGTGTCTTAATTCATGTAGAATCTGATGCATTACTTGCCATTCCTTTGCTCTTTTCAGATTATGAACACACACACACACACTTTAAATGCCTATCTAGTTTCATCCTTGTTAAAAAAAATTATAGGTTCTCAGAATGACAGTTGAACTTTCATAGAGAAACACAGAAACTGCCAGAGGAAACAATATATGCAGTAAAAAAAAATTTTGCTTATTACTCTAAATTAAGCTGGGATTCAGGTTACACTTGCTGTAGTTGATATGCATTTTTGTATCCACATACCAGAAAGTATGCTCAATGGAATTTAGTGGGCCCTGCATCCAAGTAGACACGTAGACTTGCCCTGTCAATTTTCATTGGAATTGATACAGAATCATGACTAATTTATCCCATTGATTGAAGTAGATCTAGCCTACTTTAGGTATACTTCTTACAGGGAAATATAATTTCTTTGCCAATTATGGTAAGGATTTTATCCTTTGTGAATGTGTCTAGAAAACTATTCAAGTAGCCAGCAAATTATAATAATAATGTGTTACTGAAAATGGTTCTTCGTGGCCTCTGTGAATCACACTCTGTGTAATCCACGCATGTGCAGAGCCTCATCGGAAAATCTAGAGCTTCTGTGATGGCAAAAAGATACATTAGTGCAGACCCTTCTCCCCGGTATATGTACCTTGGTGTCAAGGCTCTTCCTTCAGTTTCTTTTCAACCGCCGCATTAAGAGCCTCAATCAATAGCTTCTGTGAGGTTTTTTTTTTCTAAAAATGAAAGTTACTTACCCTTTATTATCTAAAATTTTCTTTCTTTAACCCTATTATTATTTTCCACAAGTATGCTCCGACCTTAGGTCCGAAGCCCTCCCCCTTTTCTTCTCAGTTCTTAGTTCATGGCCTCTTCAGGCCTGTTCAAATGTTGTATGGTCTGCGACAACAAAATCCCACTTTCTGACGGCCACGCTAAATGCCTTTTTTGCCGTGGTGAGGCTCATCAAACTTCCTCGTGCCCTCACTGTAAAAACTGTAAGTACAGAGTTTTCTGCAGTTGCCTTTGTAGGCTCAAACTTCGGCTTTGGGAGCAATCTCCAACCTGCTAAGCCCATGGCCCAATCTTCCTGTAAATCCATATCCCACGTGAATGCCATGGATAAAGCTGTTTCTGAGTTGGCAAAACAATGTCCCTCGGCTACTCCATCTTGTTCTGAACACCGAGAACCTGTTGTGCCCCCGACATTGACCGCCACACGAGTGCACAAAGCCAAACAGTCAATGTTGAAACCCTCGACATAGAAAACAACCACCAAACAAAAACCGTCCACCGACGTTTCCTTGGCACCTGAACCTTTGCCACCGAAGAAGGCTAAGTCTTTGAAATTGAAGCCTTCCAAAACTGTTTTCCCAACTCCACAACCACTGGAGTCCAGCACTTCTACCTCACCAGTCTTCATCATCACAGTTTTCTGAATGGGAACAGCATGTTGACCAACTCATGGCTTCTACCAGCTCTCAACAATTTTCGGGCTCTCCTGGTGAGTCTTCACCAGTTGCTTCACCTGACATCGACGGCACCGAAATGCAACCAGAAACTGTGCCTTACTCTGCCCCTGTAGGCCTATCACCTTGGCATCTGGCACATCAACAAAGGCACCAATCCTACGAGAGCGTCTGCTTGCCTTCTCGCGCAGACATGGATTACGCTCAGCACCATCATCGGGATGCCTTTTGCCCCAATCGGTGCCCAACATTGGCATTTCTTTGAGGGATCCCCCTCGCTTACCTCTGCCACGTGGTCACAACTGTCCACATTTATCAATCCCTATCGATTGGATGTTTGGCAGAAACTTGATGCTGTTTTTTGGGCGTGCTCCATTATCATCTAACTTGGCGTAACACCTTCCTCTGGGTACGGTAGCTTGTTAGTCACCCACAGTGTGATTCATAGAAGCCACGAAGAAGAACGACAGGTTACCCACCTGTAATTGTAGTTCTTCAAGTGGATCTCTGTGATTCACACATCCCGACCCCAGCTCCCCACTGTCATGCCCTTCTTTTTATGCGGCGGTTGACCTAACTGAAGGGAGAGCCTTGGCACCATGGTACATATGTGACGGGAAGGGGGTCTGCACTAATGTATCTTTCTGCTACCGCTGGAGCACTAGAATATTCCGACGAGGCTCCGGGTGCATGCGCGGATCACCTACAGTGTGAATCACAGAGGTCCTTTTGAAGAACTACAATTACGGGTAGGTAACCTGTCGTTCTCTCCCCTTCCACCAACCCTGAAGTCTGTTCTTTGGTCTGAAGGACTAAGGAAGTGCTTTTTTTCTGAGTCGGCATAATCTATAGAGTGGTAGGTGTGTGCTGAAGTCATTCCCTTGGGATCATACTTCATGTTTTTGCATTATGTTCTGTCTTTTTTTTCTTGATCATTCATGATCATTCAACCTTATTTACTCTGAGGTTTGTGGTGATGGAGTTCAGACTGGGTAAGCAATGGTTAATGGTAATCTCCAAAGCACAATATGAAATGAACTTGTAAATCATAGTTTGGAAACTAACACTGGTCATAGTTGCCTGAAATAGAAGACTATCATTTTTATTAAGTTACTGTTTAATAAAATACTATTATTTGAAAGGAGGGAGGCAAATATATTATTTTGATTCATTATGTTTGGGCTTGCTTCTGCAGATGAAAGTGGACAATGTGATTCTGCTAATAATCAGCACTTGAAGGGAGAAGTAGTTAGGGTAGAGCCTGAAGGGGAAAGGAAGTAAAAAAAATGCCTATCCTAGCTTGAGTATTGATGTGGCTGTTAAACCTTGCTACGTACATAATGATTTTAAGCTACATATCTGTTGGAGCTTAGAATCAGTTCCCAGAAGATTAGACCTGACACAGACAGCTTTCACAATGTCAGCAACATGGTATTTACAGAAAAAAATTCCTCTTGATAGCGTTGGGTTGGTAAAACCCCTAGTGAAGCCTCTGACATAGACAAATGTCATATGGCCAGCATGGAAAAATCATAGTAAGAGGAACTTGGAAATCAAGGAAAACATCAGATTACCAAAGTAAAAGAGTAAATAAATGTCCTTGTAAGTTACTGCCTTTTTTGTCTGGAGAAATGGACTTGTCCACAAAAGCTCACATTAAAATATAGTAATAAGGTGCCACAAAATGTTCTCTTCTTTATTTTTTAAATTTTTTGTTTATTCTTGCCTGACATGCTAGCACAGACTAACACAGCTGCATCTTCTAAAACTACAACCTGTTTTTGATGTTGTTGTTAAACCCTTGAACCCAGAGTATTCTTAAGTGACAAAACAAAATACAAGACTCTTCTTCACTCACGTCTGACATCTGTCAAGACATGGCCAACAGTGTTGGGAGGATTATTGTTAAATATTTTTGTTATATATTTAAGGGCAGCACTTTCACAGAATAGAAACATCCAGTTTTAAAACTTTTAAAAGTTTTGTTTAAAATCTGAATATACTTGAATGGTTTCATCTCTTTTTTATTATAACAATATTTCCATTTCAGCAAAGAACTTGTTTCAGCAGAGCAAAACAAAAATCATGTTAGTGCTGAATTAAGGAAAAAAGAAGAGCAGTTGTCCAGCTATGAAGAAAAGCTTTTTGATGTTTGTGGAAGCCAAGATTTTGAAAGTGACCTCTGCAAACTTCAAGATGACATTGAAAAAACTTCCAAGCAGCGAGGCAAGTTCATAAACTTCCTCTCCTGACAGTTTTATAGTATTATCCAAATACCAGATATTCATGATGAATGTAATGTCCTGTTTTTACTTCTAGCATTTAAGCCCCTTGTTCTATAATTAAAAAGTAACTGTTTTCTAATGAGAAAATGATTAGAATAAATTTGAAAGTATACCTCAAGTCTTCCCTGTACACGATAAAGACTTCTTTAAGTCTTCATTGTACAAATCTAAAACATTCGAGAATTATGTTTATTGAACAAAGAAGGACCACAGCTCTTCTTACTTGAGCACAAGCTAGAACTGAAAAAACTTGAACTTGTTCATAGTAGTGTAGGTCATGTGATGAAGATTTCTACACTTAATGACTGTAAGTATATAGCAAAATTAGAGACGATTTTTCTAGATAACATAGTCAAATCCTTTGTGAAGTGGCAAGATGTAATGTTAGAGAAACTTACAAGCTGCATGGTTATGACTAGTATATGTTTAAACAGAAGCCAAGTATGTGGCATCCTGAAATTGGAGATAAATACATTAACCAAAATCCACTAGCATAGGCCTATTGAATCAATGGGGATGTGATGAGTCAACTCCTCCATAAATTCATTTGATCCAAATGGGCTTACACTACTTGTGACTTGCTTAACCACAAATTACTACACTAAACCTTGCTTATTATCTTTAAAAAAAAAATGAATTTATATTCTGCACCATCTTGGCAACCAGGCCACTATGGGCAGCTAACAACAGTATTGGGAACAATATTAAAACATGATAAAAATAAATTAATACATAACAAATAGGGAAATTAAAACAGATGGCAATAACGGTGGTAACGGTGATGGAGAGGATGGCAAAAAAGATGGTAAAAAGGGAGGGAGAGATCTTAGTGCTCCGGGAAAGCCTGGTAGAAAAGCCAGGTCTTCAATGTTCTTTTAAACCCATCTAGCGAGGGTGTCAGATGGATCTCAATAGGCAAATTGTTCCATAGACCGGGGGGGGGGTGTCCGCCAAGAAGGCCCAGTTTCTTGTTCTTTCTTCCAGGCCTTCTTTGGGGTCAAGGCCCTCAACTGCCCTGCCTGTGAAGAATGGGTATTATGGACAGATCTGGCTGGGGGTACAAAGGTTCTAAACCATTTAGGGCTTTGAATGGTATCATCATAACCTTGAAGTTGATGCGGAAACAAACCGGTAGCCAATGAAGGGCAGCCAGAATGGGGGAGATGTGCTGGAATTTCTTCAACCCAGTTATTAATCTGGTTGCCGAATTCTGGACCGGTTGAAGTCTCTGCATCAGCCTCAAGAGTAGCCCCACGTAGAGAGCACTGCAGTAGTCTATTCTTGAGATTACGAGGGCATGAATCAGCGTTGTCAGTGCCCCCATGTCTAGATAGGGATGCAGCTGGAAATGGAAGATGGAGGTCCACCAGGTCCACCACCCCCTCCATCCAAAGATGGAAATGGGCTGCCCGGACCACAGATGCCACCTGGGTTTCCATGGTGAGATCCAGGTTCAGGAAGATGTCCAAGCTGCGATCCTTACTCTGTACTTCTGTTTTAATTGGATGGAAGTTGAATGAGCAAAGTGGTCAAAACAACAACAAAAGTACTTACTATGCTAAACAGCAGAATTTTGGCCTGTAGAAAAATTGAATGTGCTCACACTAAATATTACGAAATTTAAATGTGCCTTACAGTTCTGAACATAGAACAACCATGTTATGGTTCTTTGTGGTCTCTGTAAATGCACACAATTGGGTATTACTGCACCTGTGCAGGACCTCTCGGATGTTTCTAGAGCTTAAAAACATGTGATTAGTGGAACGTTCCCCCGTGAAGCTCATGCTCCGCCCACCAGAGACCTCAGTTCCTTTTAGCTGCCATTCAGGTCAGTCCTTTTGACAAGCTAGAGCCACCACTTTCACTTTTGAAAGCCTTATTCCTTTGTCCCTCACGGCCATTTTTACTTTATTTGGCGTTCCTTTGTGAGATCTTCCTCTTTATCTTACTTCCCCCATTTTCTCCTTTCCTTCTCGATCTATTCCTCTCCCATTTCCTCCGCTTCTTTTATGCCCGCCCCCGGGCCTTTCAAGCATTGTGTGCTCTGCACTAACAAAATCCCATTCTCCTACGGGCATGATCATTGCGTTCTCTGCCTAGGAGAACAACATCAAACCCATAACTGTGCAGAGTGCAAAAAACTAAACCGGCACTCAAGTTAAGATTACAGCATCTCAGATCTCACCTTTGGGAGACATCTCTTCATCTGCCCGCTCCACAGATGGAATCAGGCTTCGAGACCGAAGCTGACGTCGACACTGAAGCATCCAAAATCGAAGGACCCATCTAAATCGAAAAGAGAGAAGACTAAGATTTAAAAAAAACAAGAAAATCTTCACAACCTACTCACCCAGATCCACCTCAGACGGTCATACCATCACCAATCTTAGAAGACTCCTTATGAGAAGCTCCTGAGACTGTCTCGTATCTAGGCGATGTCTCATCTCCGCCACTAGGCCAGCCCATTGCTTCGGCTGATAGCCTCTCTCCAAGTATTGGCCCCTGAGTGGTGGATGTCCCATCCAGCCTGGCCTCGGCCCATTCCAGCGCTGCACTATTAGGGCGAGCAGTATCTCCACCAATCTCGTAGCTCGACTATCCACCAAGATTGCCCCCTCGTCGGCCCATTCCAGCCCTGCACTATCAGGGGGAGCAGTATCTCCACCAATCTCTTAGCTTGACTATCCACCAAGATTGCCCCCTCATAAATGTCGAGCAAAAAACAGACACCTCTCTCCTGTGGAATATGAACCACCATGGGGAGAATATGTATATTATAGAGAACCCTCCTGATACCATCAGAGAGATGACTACCTTGACCCATGCCACGTATGCTATGAGACATATTCCCATGGAGATGAGATTGAGGAGCCCCTTTATTATGATGAGACTAAACGTGTAAGATACGCCATTGCATATCCACCCAAACACTCTCCATCACCCTCCCCGTCTCCACCTCGATATCGACATAATGACTGACCTTCCAGAAGCACAGTTTATCGATAAATACCTCAACCTGCCAAACCAGCCTTGAGATATCATCCCAAACATGTTGATCACCTGCCGGTTAAACAGTCTAAACCTTCCCCGACACTGGGACGCTCGATACTGACTACATCTCAACCTCAGAGTCAACATTGCCCCTCATCCATCCAAGCCACTACTACTTACCCAGGTCCACCACCCCCTCCATCTGAGTCTGATCCACTTTCCACTCAACAGCCCTCGACCTCAAAATGATTACCACAAAAACCACAGTACCGTTCCCCTTCACCAATTTCTTCTACCTCCGATCATGCTCCTTCGATCACTTCCCAAGAATAACCCTCTAATCTTCCCACTCTGAACTTTGATGTGGCAGAAAATCACCCACTGTCCCCTTCAGAGTACTTTACTTCATATAGCCAAATGGTTCTAAGAATGGCTAAATCTTTAGAGCTTGTGGTAGAAGAACCTCCACCACAAAAACAAGACTTAGTCTTTGATGCTATAAATCAAGATAAAGTGCCTCCATTAAGTCTTGCCTTTATTCCAGCAATGCCTGATCTCATAAAAGAATCATGGGACAAGCCCCATCTTCTCTCCAGATTTCTCGGAGAGTAGAAAATCATTACAAAACTCACAGCACGGACACCTCATTTCTCTCAAAACATCTCATCCCGAACTCTATTATAGTCGTATCTAACCAGTTTCGAGCCTGGAACAAGTCCTCTGTGGCCCCTACTAATAGAGAAGGGAGAAAACTTGATATCTTAGGGAGACATCTCTATTCACTCACATCCTTCATTATGAGGGGTGCGAACTATCAAGCTGCCATAGGAGCCTACCAGCGCCAACTTTGGAAATGGGTACTCCCTATACTCCAGACAGCCCCTGATGATACCAAGTCAGAAGCCTTAAACATACATCTTGAAACTTCAAACCTAGCTAAACAACAGCACATAGCTCCCAGACACACAGTAGTGTGTCATGCTACTTCAAACCTAGCTAAACAACAGCACATAACTCCCAGACACACAGCAGTGTGTCATGCTGCCATGCGTGGCTCAGATCTGCTGTAGTCTATGATGACACAAAAACCCGTATCGAAGACCTTTCCTTCGACGGAACTGGACTATTTAAACCGATGAAGTTATGGACAACTTACATAAGATTTGCAAAATAGCGAGGTCTTACTCAACTCAGCAGACTTTCAGATATCAGCGCCCTCAATGGAGGAAGCAGCCATTTGTATACCAGCCGTTCCAGCCACAATACAAACCTTACAGATCACAATCCTCTGACCGTCCATTTCCCATGCCATCAACCTCATCCAGTCCTAACTTTCGATCTGAAACACAGCAACAACAAATATGACAACCATTTCGCCGTCAGCAGAAAAAGACCAAACTGTATCCCTGACTCCTCCGAGCCCGAGAGGTACACTTTCCATACCCATCTCTCACCGTTTCTCAGTTCATGGTCTCAAATCACCAATGATCACTGGATCCTTTCTATCATCACTCATGGTTACCTTATCAAATTCGACCATCCGCCCACCTTTCACTCGCATAAAAACCACCCCCTTCTCTACAGCCCTACAAGACAAAGTACTTCTTCTTCTCCAGAAACATGATATCCTCCCAGTTCCACAGTCCAATATCCACAACAGTTTCTATTCCCATTACTTCACGGTACCAAAGAAAGACTCGACCTCAGAAAACTCAACAACTGCATTCAACCCAAACGTTTCAGAATTAGTACCCTCAACACTGTAATCCCTCTCCTTTCTCTCGGAGACTGGTTCGTAGTCATCGACTTACAAGACGCTTATTTCCATATCTCCATCCACCCTTGACGTCAAAAATTTCTATGTTTCCATTTCAATGATACTGCCTATCAGTTCTGATCTGTTAACGAATTTTTCTGAGTAGCTACCTTTCAATGTGGCGTTGACATTTCTCACATCTGCCATGCTGCCACTTGGTTTATCCCGTCGACCTTTGTCTTGCGTTACCGGCTAGATGTTCGAGCAAAGAGTGATGCAGCCTTCTGCCGAGCTGCCCAACCTCCTTACTTCAGTGATGTCCCACCAACCGGTAAGTGAGCTTGCTAGTCACCCAATTGTGTGCATTCACAGAGACCATGAAGAAGAAAAAGAGGTTACCTACCTGTAACCATAGTTCTTCGAGTGGTCCTCTGTGAATCCACACATCCCGCCCATCCTCCCCTCTGTCTGTCACTTGTCATCTACACTTATCTCTGACAGCAGCGGACTTTTGGGAACTGAGGAGGTCTCTGGCGGACAGAGCACGCTCTGTTATGTAACACATCCCACTAATCACATGTTCTTAAGCTCTAGAAACCTCCGAGAGGTCCTGCGCAGGCGCAGTAATACCCAATTGTGTGCATTCACAGAGGACCACTCGAAGAACTATGGTTACAGGTAGGTAACCTCTTTTTATGTGTGTTGCGCAGCTTTGGACTTGACTTTCTTCTCTGTGCACATCATTTGGATACTTTCAGATTTGTTTCTTCATTAGTGATAGTGCTGCTCATAGTTATCCTTTGCTTTTCCCCATCAGCTGAGCAAGTGCTTCCTGATCAGACAGTCTCACCTTCTGACACTTCCTCTTACTTCATTCTGGATTTTCTTATTATAGGGTTTTCAGGGTACAAAACATTCAGAAGTGGCCACCAATGTCCACTTCTGTGCAGTATTGGCAAGAGTTGAATTCAGTGTTACTGCTATCATCTGTGAAATACACACCATGAGCGTTAATGTTCTGTTACTACTGCCACCCCATAACTAGCCTTTAAGGATTTCTCCACTTCCATTGCTGCTGGAACTCTCTGTTCTTTGCTGCTGTTGCAGCTGTCAGTTCCTGAGGACAAAGAAGGCATCTGACTCCAGCTAGAACCACACCACTACCTCTGTGTCCTTGTGAGGGGCCCAGACTTTTGACTCAATCCCTGACAGCACTGCTGTCCATTTTTAAAACAGGGCATGGGCTATTGAAGAAGGCAGAGTTTAGTCTTACAGAAATGTCTGTATGTATCTTACGACATGCTGAAATCTAAAAATAAATTTGGTGGAATAATAATATTTTTTCAGAATTTCCATGTTTTTTATGTTTAAATTTAACTCTTCAAAAAAAAATCCCATCATGCCTTGTGGCTTCCAAGCCAGTGCCCCACTCCTGGCGAGTGGTATCAATCTTCCATACCTTGAATACAACCATTCCAGTTTTCTTGTAACTCATGAATTGGAGTTTTCTCTTTTTGTTTATGTTTTAAGCAGCAGCCTGTCTCCCTTCCACCTTCCTTATGGGACAGTTTCCCTCTATATGTTCCTCTATTTAATAATTGAACACATCCTGGTTTCCTTCTTGTGTATATTCGTGCCTTTCATTTTTAACACTGACTCCTTAGCCTTGTTATAGTTCTTTATTGGTTGTCCTATGCCTAAGTGGGGATGTTCTCTATATGTCATATGCCAGCAGCAAGATAGCATTGTGGGATCACCTGGCTCCAAAAGGATTGTGAGGCATCTACACTAGAGGCTTTTAGGCAGAAGCTAAGACACTTAATCTTTTAATTGAGGACTTTTCCCCTTCTCTTTTGAGGGAGCTGTTAGATTTATTCACTGCTGCTGTCTGAACTGTTTTGTGTGTGTTGTGTCTGGTTAAATTAGCTTTATGTTTTTACTGTTTTAGCTGTGATGTTACAGTTTTTGCAGAATGGATTGTAAGGTTCTTTGGAAACTTTATTGGGAAAATAACATAAAAGTACCTGAGGTGACATATAAAGACAAGTTTCTCCCCTTCCTTATGGCCTTGAAGTATGAATTTCACAACATTCTGCCTCCCTCTGTCTTTTTAATACCACTTTGACATCCATGTATTCTTCAAAACAGCCATGCTTGCTGGGGCCACAGCTGTTTATTCGCAGTTCATCACACAACTAACCGATGAAAACCAGTCATGTTGTCCAGTTTGTCAGAGGGTTTTCCAAACAGAGTTAGAACTTCAGGAAGTGATAGATGATCTTCAGAAGAAGCTGCGCCTTGCTCCAGATAAATTGAAAACAACAGAGGCTGAACTTAAGAGGAGAGAGAAGAAGCGTGATGAAATGATGGCACTTAAACCTGTCAGGTGAGGCAGAAAGAGTAGCATAATTTGGTAGGTAAGAGATGAATATGCTTCTCAAAGTTTACAGCCATTTTAAAACCTTGTAGATATGGCTGTTGTAGTTTTTTCAGGCTCTTTGGCTGTGTTCTGGACTGAAACACGGCCAAACGGCCCAAAAGGTTTCAGGCTCTTTGGCTGTGTTCTGGACTGGAACACGGCCAAACAGCCCAAAAGGCCTACAACAGCCATTGGACCCCGGCTGTGAAAGCCTTCGAAAATACACTTGTGGATATGCTTTTCTGTCTTTTTGGATGAAATTGTTTATGTTGTCTGTTTATAAGAACATTTAGAGATTGCTTTTCAGCTAGAAGTATGGTTTCTGAAATGGCTATGAATATAAATAAAAAAGTGACTTGAATCCCGAGTTGTCCTTTCATGAACAGAAGAAACTCCAGTCAAACAATGTGCCTGTTGATAAAATGGGGAGAGAAGAGGGCTCCTCTAATTTCTCTTTCTCCCTGCAAACTTTCCTCCAGCTATCTGAAACAGATTTTTAAAGTCTGTGGTTGGGGAAAATCACAGCTCCCCCACGTTTTCAGATGGGATTATTTTCTAATCAGAGTTCAACTCATATTAAACTAGGATCCAAGTCAATAGAAACTGAATTGCAGTAGCCAAAGTTAGATTTTTAAAAATTAGTAATAAGCTGGGAGAGGGGTTCATTTCATTATGATAACAGGAATATTTTTAGTTCTTGTGCCAGCATTGAATAGTGAAATTCTGTCATACACAGGTTTTTAAACAATCTGATGAAGTTAATGAGCTAAATCAAAGATTATCTTGTGTGCTAGGCTTTTTATAGAAGTGTTCTGCCCACTTGTAAATCCAAGTATAGCTAATCTTTATATTGAGTTGGTTTTGCTGCTGTTACTGGAGGAGAATGCTGTTGTGATTTTTTTAACTAAAAGAAAATATTATAATGATGGGGGTTTTTTGTCTCTTGGTAAGGCAAACATTATCTGAACTTCAAGAAAAGGACATACCTGACTTAAGGAACAAGCTGCAGATTCTCAACAGAGAGATTCAACGCCTTAAAAATGATATAGAAGAACAGGAGACTGTCTTGGCTGTTATTATGCCTGAGGAAGAAAGTGCCAAAGCATGTCTGCAAGATATTACCCTTATGGAAAGGTACCAGGTACTGTATAGGAACTAAAGCTGCATACTACTTGCATGAAGGAGTGAAGTTTGTTGAAAGAGTCTATATGTCCATCCACCTTTTCATCCTCTGCTTAGTCAAGTGGCATGAAGGAGTTCTGAATTAAGGCTATATGATGCATACATAGTTTTCACGAACCTCCGTAATACCTATACTAATTTCAGTAGGTCGTTATGGGAAGGAAGGGGCTCTGTTGTACACTATGGGAATAGTTTTGAACACTTGCAGTAGACTTCAGTGAGTCCAAAATGCCATTTCCAGTGGGATAAGAATATTGGTGTTTTACTTTTACTTTTCAGACTGATCTAAGGGATGTTGAGCGAAAAATTGCTCAGCACGCTACTAAGCTACAAGGTGTGGATTTGGGTCGGACTCTTTTGCAAGTGAGCCAGGAAAAGCAAGAGAGAAAGCATCAGTGGGATACAGGTAACCCTCTATGAAAACTACCAGATTTTTTTAATATCCAAGCCACTTATCTGTGTCTTTCTGTCCTTCTCAAGTACCCTGTTTCCCCAAAAATAAGACCTAACTGGAAAATAAGCCCTAGTATGATTTTTCAGGATGTTCGTAATATAAGCCATACCCCCAAAATAAGCCATATATCCCTGCCTGCCACGCCGCTATAACTGATATCTACAAGCCCAGCAAGCTTGGTGAAGTTTGGGATCAGGACCTCTGAGGTATATAGCCACAAGGAGGACGCCGCCAATAAATCCCTCCCCCCCCGGGACTTAGACAATCCAAAATCACACAGAAGCTTCCTGTGTCTTGCCTCAAAAAACCCTCCCATGTTTGCTGAAGATTGGATTTCAGACATCACCCACAAAGTGGGGTCCCCCCCCCGGAAAGTGACAGAGCTAGCTAGCAAAGTTTGCCACAAGGCACAGAAGCAGGTGGCATTGAGGAAGTTTGGTTTGGCCCCAGCAGTTACTGAAACATTTGGCATTTTGGCACCATAGGCTACCAGGAGGCATGTTGGTATTTGGTGTTGAGGTAAGAATTGCTCCCAGGAGGCAATAAGGTTTTTGGCGTTGAGGTGGGGTTTGCCCCTAACAGACATTGAGGCATTTGGTATTGAGGTAGTGTTTGCTCCCAGCAGGCAATGCAGCGTTTGGCATCTTGGCAGGGTTTGCCCCAAGCATGATAAGAGGCATTTGGCATAAGAACATAAGAAGAGCCCTGCTGGATCAGGCCAAGGGGCCCATCTAGTCCAGCTTTCTGTATCTCACAGGGGCCCCACCAGATGCCTCTGGGAGCCCACGAGACAACTAGAGGCCTGTCTCCTGATACCCCTCCCCTGCATCTGACATTTTGAGGTACCCTCCTTTGAAGCCTGGAGATTGTACATCCCCATCATGGCTTGTAACCTGCGGTGGACGTTTCCTCCAGGAATCTGTCCAATCCCCTTTTAAAGGCATCTAGGCCAGATGCCATCACCACATCCTGTGGCAAGGGGTTCTGTAGACTAACAAAATGTTTTCTTTTGTCTGTTCTCACTTTCCCAACACTCAATTGGAGTGGATGTCCCCTGGTTCTGGTATTGTGTGAGAGGGAAAAGAGCTTCCCTCTGTCCATTTTATCCATCCCTTGCAACCCCTGTGGCTGCCCTTTTGGAAGGAGGCGCCTCCTTCTGCTTCCCCACTTCTCCCCCTGGAGCTGCTCTGCTCCCTCCCCTTGATGGCAGCGACAAACAGCCTTCCCCAGAAAGAAGCCTTGAGTGGTGCCTCTCCAAATGCTGGCAAAGGGCCGTGGAAGACAGATGCCTGGGATCTGACAATTCCTCCCCTCTGGACCACCACAAGGCAGGCATTGCAGCGTGCCAGCCATGGGTCATTGTTGACCACTGTGAAATGATCCCACAGGGACCCTCTGCCATGTATGGCAAAACATCGACCTACTACCTGCCCCTGACTCCTGGGAAGAAGGCTGTGTGCCAGTGGTGCTGCTGGGATGAGAGAAGAGATGACTCTGTGGACAGGGGTGGGGTGGAGGTTGTGAAGCCTGGCCTACTGTTACTAGTTCCAAGGACTGGGAGGTTTCTGGATCTTCTGGAAACCGTAACTCCTCAGATTCCTCCAGAAAGAGCAGCGACAGTTCTTTGGGCTCTGCTGGAAGTTCTGCTTTCATGCCTGCCTTCAAGGCCACCGGAGGAGGAGCTATGATGGCTCTCCCTAGCCTACGCAGCCTCATAGGCTTCTTCCCCTTGGATGCCCCATGATGGAGACTGCCTGTCCTTTACACCTGCCCTATATCCCTGCCTGCCAAACCACTAAACCAATAAATGGGAGGGGAAGGAAAAACTAAGAGGGATAATAGAAAGGGTCAGAGGGTGTAATAGATTTTGTTTTTGTTTTTGTTTTAATGATGATGAGGAGGAATGGAACAGATGTATTAATTTTTTAAAAGAATAATGCGGGAAGTAATTGTACCCTAAATAATTAAAAAAAACACACTATCCACACACAGACACAGAGCACTCCCCCAAAGATCACCCACCCTGCCTGAACGTAACCCCCCCTAAAAAAAAGAACTAAGTGTTTTGTGACCTGCCTAAACAAAGCCCTCCCTGGTCTCCTACTAAATTTGCTGAATGAAATAAGAATAAATATATTCTAAACTGAATGCTTTCTCAGCACATTGGCTGGAGAAGCAGACACGCCCACATGCACAGATACACTCAGAAGAACCAGAGAATCAAGCACTCAGGAAATAAGTTTTGGGGAAAGGGATTCCACAGTCGCACACAAAATCCCTCCTCTCCCCCGAGATCACCCACCCTGCCTGAACACAAGCCTCCAAAAAGAAGTAGCCTAACTGAAATACCCACACAGCTAAAGAAATCCCTCCCCAAATTCCCAGTTCAAATAATATTAATAAGTGAATCAAATAAGGAAGAGAACTGTGCTTGCTTTGCTGCCACAGAAGTGAAAGAACTGCAGTAGCACAACCATAACCACCAGCAAGCTAAAGAAATCCCTCCCCAAATTTCCAGTTCAAATAATATTAATAAATGAATTAAATAAGGAAGAGAACTGTGCTCTGTCTCAGCTAAAGACTTGAGCAGAAGTGGGAAATGGCTGCAGGGAAAAGGCTTATAAAGCCTCTGAAAAAGGACACCTCCCACAGCTCTTTCAGCAGCGCTGTTGGTTGCCTGGCATACCAATTCAGGATTTCCTGATTGGCCAGCACTTCTGATTGGCACCAGCAGGCTGCAGAGATGGCACAGAGAAACCCAAAAGGAATGAGAAATTGACAAATATCGACAAATTGACAAATAAAACCGGGTAAATATTTGTCACTTCATATTTGTTGGGTTTCCAGAATTGACAAATACGAATAAACGAATATAGGACAAATTGGCAATGTTAGGCGAAAATCGCAATTTGTTTTTACAGTGGTGCTTCGCATTACGACATTAATTCGTTCCAGCGAAATTGCTGTAAAACGAAAACATAATGCGATTTTTAAAAGCCCATAGAAACGCATTAAAACCCGATTAATGCGTTCCTAGGGGCTTGAAACTCACCGTCCAGCGAAGATCCTCCATAGCGCGGCCATTTTCGCTGCCTGGGCAGGGAGGAATCTGTCCCAGAAAACAGCAGGTGGCCATTTTGTTTACCCGGTGGCCATTTTGAAACCGCCGATCAGCTGGCCGAAAATCATCACTTTGCTGTGATTGGCTCCCGAAGCAGGGAACCGATCATCACAACGCGAAATTCCCCCATAGGGAACATCGTTTTGCGATCGCGAAAACATCAACGTCTAGCGATTTTTTAAAAAACCTCTATGGAAACTTATTTTCATTGACTATTTTCCCCAGATCCAAAGGAAAAAGGGTAGGCTGTATAAAAGAGGAGAAAGAAATTATGGAGTGAAATAGAATGAAAAAGGCAGACAAATAAATAGAGCTAAGATTAATTAGGTTTGCATACAGGTTGAGAAGTCAAAATTAGAGTCATTTTCCTCAGTTCCAACATTAATGGTTTTGCCTTACCCTTAGCTAGTACTCACTAGTTATTTAACACATGTATCTAATCAAGGAAACTGGCAATTTATTTGCATACATATAACCCAACAAGCAGTATACAGGTGGGGACCGAAATCATCACACACCACTGCACTTTCTAGGAGAGGGACCAGTTAAAATTTGAAAGATGTTCAGGTTATGTAAAATGTCTTGTGTTTGTGCTATGTTTTTTTCCTGCTTCTCAATTTGAGTAACATAGAGCTTTACTCTGCTGATTTATGCCAGATTCTATTCAGTTAAAATGTTAATCGCATTTTAATTCCCTAGTTTACTGCAATCTGTTTCCCCTCAATTGTGCTTACAGTCACCGGAAAAATTGAATTAAAGCAGACACTTAAACAAGACCAACAAAATCAGGTCCAGTGTTTAAAGAGTACGGTGAATGAGCTTAAAGCGGAGAAACTTCAAATTTCCAGTCGTATGCAACGTCGACAGCAGTTAGAAGAGCAGACTGTGGAGCTGACCACTGAGGTGCAGTCCTTGAACAGAGAAGTTAAGGCAAGTGCTATAAATGCTACTGTCGGTTCTTCTTCCCCTGTCCTGCCCTGTTCTTGTTGAGCTTTTCAGAATTCTTCCAAGTCACTAAAAAGGCAGTTGTCTCCATGCATTAAAAAAATACAATCCCAATTTCTAAAGCAAAGTAATCACAGTGGTGATTTCTGTTTCTTTTTCAGGAAGCAAAGGAGCAGATCTTTCCTTTAGAAACAACTTTGGGGAAACTGCAGCAAGAAAGAGAAGAGTTGATGCAGAAAAAGAACAAAAGTTACAGAGCAACACAAGAGGAGGTTAGATAACTTGTAGTTAGGATGGTTTTATCAACTCTGAAAGTGCAGTTCAGTGTAACAGAAAGTGATGTGCATTGGAGCAAAAGTCCTTATTTCACATGCAAACTGATGGTATCTGAATTTTTGATGGATAACCATCCACCCCATCACCGTTCCTGGCATGTTTGCCACTGGGCCAGAATTGTTAAGATCGTCAGGAGCCATCTATGTCTTCTTTAATAGTGGCCAAGCTACCACCCCTTTTACCAGGTTGGTAGCTAGCCATTCCTTCGAGTAGTGTTGACTGTTTCTTGGTTTCAAGCTAGTTCTTCTCCATTCCTTCGAGTAGTGTTGACTGTTTCGTGGTTTCAAGCTAGTTCTTCTGGCTGTAGACTTCCAAAATTGGAGATAGATGAGGATTGAGAACAGACAACTTGACGGATCAAACCAGGCACTCTCTCCGACATCATCAGACATCAGCACATCTGATGAAACTAGATGAGATGATGAACTGAACATCACTGTCATGCTTTTCACCACCTATGACGGGGAAGGGAAATGTTAGTGTTAGCTGAGAGCCCAGTTTTCACTCCTGAACCCCACCTGGGGGCTTCACGAAGATTAGAAATGATAAATGAATAAATCAGTAAATCGACTAAATGAACCAGGAAATATATTAAAGATTCAAACATCCAATTTTGATTATTTTTAAAAAATTTGGGAAGAGGGGTTATTCAGCATTGCAAAAATCATTGATTTTGTTCCCAAAGCAGCAACAGAGGATTTATGAGAGGAAGAGGAAAGAAAGACAGACAGAAAGAGAGAATAAGCTTCCCAGGTGGGGCTTTGTAAAAAAATTTGAGAGGCTCTAAAATAGAGCCAGGAGGGACACACTGCCTACTTGTGGCAGACAAGAGTGACGTTATTGTCAAAATACACCAAAAGCAACCACAACTTGTGGCTGAAGTTTGAAAAGGGAGACATTTTATTTTCCTGAATCAGGGGCTATTTATGAGATAGCTCATTTTGCTCCCCTCTTCAAAAGATTTGTTCTAATTTGGCTCAGATACACTAAAATGTGTAACATTCGAAGTTTAATTTAGTTAAACAGTGTGTTGGCTCTTTTGAATTAAATATGCATTCTACTTTTAAGCAAAAATATTGTATATTTTCTTACAGATAAACAACATCAAAGAAAAAGTTAAAAACATCCAGCAGTATGTAAAAGAGATTGAGAATTATGTTAAAGAAGGGAAAGAAGAGTACAAACAGGTAATGGCAAAAAATAGCAAGTGCCTTCCAAAATGGTGTTATTTTTAAAACATTTAAATCAGTTCTTTATGATCTACTAAGTTCCACATGGGGGAATGGGGAAGCAGGCCGTTCTTATAACAAGTGGCCACCATGACTATTTTAAATGAATAAATGTGTTTTTCTTGGGATAGCAAAAGGAAATTGAACTTGATGAAGTCAACGTTCAGCTAACAGAATGTGAAAAGAGGAAGGAGAAGATAAATAAAGAAATTGGAACCATTAGGCAAGATATTGATACTCAGAAGGTAGGTCGTTGTGTTCCCCCCCCCCCATTTAACTTTTATTGCTATATTTTAGGCTGATGCCAACAGATTATATCATTTGTGTGATTATAGATTAATGGCAGCAGTATTAAGGGCCTGAAGTGTGAGCACTTTTAATACAGCAATATCTGCATGTGGTTTTGAAATGAGAATAAACTCCTATTGAATTCGTGTCTACCAGACTGCTTTACACAAAAGTAACATGTTACATGCTTTAGCCTTAGTGACATGTTTACTGCCTTGCCATCTTCTTTATCTCCTTAATGTATCTTATCCTTTAGGGCAGTGTTTCCCAAAGTGGGTGCTGTAGCACCCATCGCCCCTCGCGGGGCTCTGCAGCTGTCCGGTGCACCAGCAAACCAGCCAGGAGCAACGTGGAAGCTTTCTTTGTTTTTTTTCCCCGCTGTGCTGCTCTTCCGGCTGGCTCCGGCTCCTTCCTCCTTCTTTGTTTCCTGCTCCACACTGCACTCCTCACTGCTTTTCCTGCTCCGCCGCTGTCACTGCTTACACGTTTCACTTAACGATGTTTTCCCATAGCGATGTTTTTTTTGGAACCAATTAACCTCGCTATGCGAGGCACCACTGTATAATGTTTTAAAGACTTTTTAAAATAAAGTCTTTACAGAGCTCAACCTGTGGTAATATGGAATGTTAATTGTTTGTATAATCTGGTTTTTATACTTACTGCCTGCCAGCTGTAGGGCTGTTTCAGATGCAAGAGTAAATCAAAATTCTTCAGAACTGGGCCTTCTCAGGAAGAAATAAACATATTGGTGCTCTCCACTTAATTGCTTCCTTTTTCTGGCCAGCAGGAGTAGTTAAATGAAGCAGGAAACATCCTGTGTTTTATTCAGCATTATATTCAAACTGGGAATCAGTGCTGGAATCCTGTTTCTTAGCATCGTTAAGTCACACTAGAATAGGGCCATTCGAATCAACGAAATTTATGGAGGAGTTGATTCATGAGTTGATTCACAAAATCAGCACTGATTGAATAGGCCTACTCTAGTGACTTACTACACTAAGCAACAGGATTACAGCCACTGAGGTGTTCCCCTTTGCTTGTCAGAATAATAACCAGGATTATTTTCTTTTCTTATATCCTAATTCTGGCTTGGTAGGAGAACAAGTCATGGATGCCAGTTTGGATTTAAAATGGAACAACCCATGACTTCCTGGTTTATTAAACTCTTTCTGCTGGCAGAATGAGGAAAGTAGGATTCATTAAGCTGGGTACACTAAAGCTCATCAACTGGGTCATTAGCTGATGACATGATTTCTATCAGATTTCAATTTAAATTATCTACAGTGCAATCCTGTACATATCTATTCTATTTAATTCAGTAGGGCTTATTTCCAGGTAAGTGGTATAGAACTGCTGGCTAAGCCAGTGGTTCTTATCCTTGGGTAATCCAGGTATTCTTGGACTGCAATTCCCAGAAGCCTTCACCACCAGCTGTGCTGGTTGGGGCTTCTGAGAGTTGCAGTCCAAGAACACCTGGGTTACCCCAGGTTAAGAACCACTGGGCTAAGCTACTTAAAAATACAGATAACGTAGTGACTGAAGAGAAATGTTGGCTAGGTTTTGTATATTAAATATGTAGCCCATTGTTATGTACATTAAAATGGTAGTGGTACAAAATAATGTAGAATAACTCAGCAATGTATTTTATTTGAATTTAGATTCAGGAGCGATGGTTAGAAGATAATCTTACTTTAAGAAAAAGAAATGAAGATCTAAAAGAAGTGGAAGATAGCATAAACCGATACTTGAAGGAGATGGGAGAAATGAAGGTCCCACAACTGAAAAAGTACTAAGTGATTTCTGTTTTAAAAGAATTTCCTAAATGCAAAGCATCAAGTCTCCCTTATTTACATACTGACTTACTCAGCATCAGCTAGTGGTCCACAGATATTTGCATATTTATCACATCTTGATAAGAGGAATCGCTTGTGGGCCAAGCTATTTTTATTCTTCCTTCATTACATGAACTCTTATTCTACTTCTGTACATGTAACAGCCATCCTCATGGCTACGTTATCAGCACTTCAGCTCTTGTCAGAGAGATGCATCTGGGTAGCCCAAAATAGGATATGAAAGCATTTGTCTTTTGCACACAAGATCCGGTATTCAATGCTACCTCTGCTGCTGAAATGTATATTTATTATGGCTAGTAGCCACTGGTGGATAAGGACCCTGTTAATCCCTTTTAACACTCTTCCAAAACACTTGCCAGTCACCTTCTCACCTTGCTTGCCATTGGGTGGGACAGGATATCAAGCTGCATGACCACTGTAAAAGAAGTCATTTGTTGTCTGCTTTAGAACTGACTTTCCTGAGCATTAAAGAGTCCCTGGGCTGCAACGTTAACCATTCCAGTCTTACAGTACCACTGTGTATGTTGCACATGAAACATTTTTCCTCTTATATTGCAGGGACTTGTGAACTAAGTTATTTCGCAGAGACTTAGTTCAAAACATATTTGCTGAAACACAAATGCCATCAAGTTCAGTAGGCTTCATAATTATGCTTAGAAAGGAATGCCGGCTAGATATTGTATAAGATATTAAGTCCTCTAATAAGACTATTGAAATACAACAAATCTCTGAGCAATTGTGGTATCTGAGCTGTGTTTACAAAGAGCCAGTATGTTTTCTCATGGACGTTCTAAAGTGCTGCACTAGACTCAGCAGTACTAAACTGGGAATAATGAAATTAGCAGCTTTGAACCATAAATAGACTGATTAGACTTTTTAGCAATTGTTTGGGTTGCAAAAGGCTGAATTGAGCGTATGGTGTGGTCCATCTTGTTCCTTCTGCCATGCATTGTTTTTCTCATTTTAAATAAATTGTGGTAGCATAATTGTTGCATGACTCAGCTGTGCTTCTGTTGCCTTAGAGACCTTGGTTTTCATAAGCTTAGTTAAGATATCATAGAAACAATTGGTTTATTATGATGAGGTGTTTGGAAGCATTACATCAATATGTTTGAATAAAGAGACTGCTGGAGAGGCTTCCAGCTGTCACTCACACTTCTGGTGTCTGGGCTAGTGACTAGCCTTGTACAAGCCATATTTACTGTAGTTTCTCCTATAAAGTATTTGTCTCTCCCCAAACACTTCATTTCAGAGGTGAGAATAATTTCTGAAACTGCAGATAACACATCTGTACAGGTGTTTGTGCACACACCGGCACATATATTCACACATGCAGATATATAATTTTTTAATGCCTTGTTTGTGTATAAAACAACACAGTTTCTTATTTTCCCTTTATTTTCCCTTTTTTTTTCTGTCATGATTGCACATTTGATATTTGACTAGGGACTCATTTCCTTTCCTCCTTATTGAGGGTTGGAAAGATACTGTTTATTTTTTTTAAAAAAATTATTTAAAATATGTTTACCCAGCCTTTCTCCTATCATCTTCATTGATAATTTACTTAAATGGAAATAATAGTGCTGTAACTGTTTTTGTTTATACTACCAAATTATTTATTTCATATGTCTTTTGATCATAATTGTCTGCACCTTATCAGGTATAATAAAGGTGTTCATTAACGTCTATTTGACAGAGACCGAGAGCATTTAGAGGGAAAAATAGAAGAGCTGAAAAGAAACCACAGCTTAGCACTTGGACGACAGCGTGGGTTTGAAGAAGAGATCCTTAGATTTAAGAGAGAGTTGAGAGATTCGCAGTTTAAAGATGCAGAAGAGAAATACAGAGAAATGATGATAATAATGAGAACAACAGAACTGGCAAACAAAGATCTTGATATTTACTATAAAGCATTGGATCAGTGAGTATACACATTAACATTTTATCCAGTGAAGAATTTTGTAGAAGTTCAAATTTGAAGGGATTTTGGAGAATGCAATAAAATGAAGAATGTGGGATAAAAATAACTTTCCATGCCCCTTTGGTAACTGAAATAGTACACCTTGGGTTAGGTTATTGAAACCTACTCCCATTTTTCCCAGGTAAATCCAGTGAACTAATAGAAGAGAAAATATGTCTTCCAGGTGGCATAATCTGGGGTGGAAGTAGAATCCAGTGACAAAATCACTTTGGCCTAAATCCAATAGCTAGTCCCAATTAGAGGTGACCCATTGAATCGGTTGCTGAGTCATAAAACAACACATGTGATAGATTCAATGGATCTTCTTATTTGGGATTAGCAGTTGGATTTAGTCCCCCATGTCCAGTTGTATTTAGCTCAATTTTGAGTCAGTTGGCACATATGAACAATTGGGTTTCAGGTATTTGGATCTTAAACATCATCTGTACTGTTCCATCTCATAGGCGGTTCATGATCAAAGTGGCATTCATCTCCCCCTTCCTAAACTTTAGGGGTGAGTCCCCGTCCCCGTCCCCCAGTTTCCCAGGGTCTACCTTCCCTATCATTAAATAAGGAAAACCTTGAAATGCTGCTTGGTTCTCATTAATAAAAGGCAGGTTCTTCTAGTGTCTACAGTATTTTGTATGTGCAACTTTGGTATTCTGCCTTTGAACCCCTGTAAATTTCACCTTTGAAGAAAGCAAACCCGTCTAGATTTGTACCTCCTTATCCCCTATAATCATATATCTTCAACCCTGCCTATTATCTGACTTACACAGTTTAAGGCTATGCCCACCCAGGGCAATATGGCAAACAGGTGTTGGTGGCAATAATTCTAACCAAGCAAAATGTGGATATTATCATTTAAAAGTAGAGAACTTCCTAGATCAGGGGTCCTCAACTGTGCTAGTGTGTGGGCTTCCCAGGACTGGGCCGCAGAGACAGATCCAAGGTTTTCTAGGTATACTCAGAAGTAGCTTACCATTCTAGGATACTCTGTGACTGCAGTTAGTCCAAAACTACCCAGGTCCCAGGAGGCATAAATTCCTGATCCTCTCGCTCTGCAGCCAGGTATCCAACACACTGAGCTATTCAGCCAGCTGGAGAAAATATGTTACACGTGGAGTTTCATTCCCTCATTATGACCAGGAATGGGAAAGTTGAGGCATTCTGCATGCAGAGCCAGTGTAGGAAAGCTGTAGGAAAGCAGGATTACCTTCCCGTCCAGGCCTAGTATATAATCCTATAAAACATTGTCAGTGAGTACCAGTTGATAATGTCCACTTAGATCTGCTGCCATTTGGGACTACTTTGCTCTTGTACTATCATTTCATGACTAGTGGGCCTCAGCCATTTTCAGACATCTCAAGCAGGCCAGGCAGGTAGAAAGTTTAATAACCTCTTTAAGATCAAGGTCAAAGATTGATCCCCATAACTTCTTCCAACAGTAAGTCATCTCATTGTTGATTGAAATGCATATGGATAGAAAACCATTGAAACGGAAAGAGATAGTGTTGTGAAGGGCTATGTGTGGAAATAATTTTATCTTCACCTTTCTTTTTAAAGAACACATTTTTATTACTATGATAAAAGGCAAATTTGGTTTGGTTTTTTGCATTCTTATCTGATGCACCCAAATATGCATCTCTTCACCCGCAAAAATAACCATGACTCAACACTTTAAATATGTTTGATGTTATCAGATGGAGAGCTGCTATGAGAGCCTTCACTATGAGGAAAGTTATGACTAAATACAACTATGAAAGCAGCATTTCTTGGTATAGTGGAGAAGACGTTCCATACAAAATCATCATTTTCCATTTTATCTCTGCCCCTTTGCCCCTGTAGTGTCAGTGTTTGTATATATATTTATTTGTTTAGTATCATTTGTAGGCTGCCTTTCTCCTCATGAGGGGACTGTTGCAAAAGAGAATGTGAGTAGATGAATTCCAAGGCTTGCTGTTTCCTGAAATGTTCAAAGTGTTCTAATGCAAAGGCCTTATAATTTGTGTCTTCTAGTGTCTTAACTTTTGATGCTTCCTAAACATACCTGTTCAAACATACCTTAAAGATCTGGTCCAATTCAGTATGAGTAGTACTTGTATCCAGTAAAACTGGTAACCCTTTATCATATCAAGCCCTGTTTTATCGTGGTCTTAACTACTGGCAAATGTTCCAGATTTGTTGTCCATGATGGCTAAAGGCAGTTTACAAAATAATAAGATTCTGTGAATAAAAAAGTCTAATCTGTGGAGTAGAAGCACAGGTTATGTTAACATGTTTTAAAGATGGTGCTTATGAGTAGCCCTGTGAATCCTTTCCTTATTGGAAATTGGTTTCTTAAATATGAGAGGATATTGTTGCAAATTTAGAGTACAGAGAAAGTGAACCCAGACTGAAAGAGTTTAATTTGCTGGTCAGCACTCATGTCCCTGGTTTTCTCTTTCGTCTTCCTTAGAGCAATCATGACATTTCATAGCATGAAAATGGAAGAAATCAACAAAATAATTCATGACCTTTGGCGGAGCACCTATAGAGGACAAGGTACCCATTCTCCATGTGTTTATGTGAATGCATAAATAAAGCTCCCAATTTGAAGAGACCCTTGTCCAGCAGGCCAAGGCGAAGAGGCAGTCCCAAAAGCAGCAAAATCAGGGAGGTGGACAGGGAACAGATTGGATTTGTCTTCATTGTAGAAGGGACTGTCACTCTCGAATTGGCCTTTTCAGCCACACGAGACGTTGTTCCGAGTCCTCCATACAGGGCATGTTACCATAGTCTCTCAAGACTGAAGGATGCCTCCACACAAATAAAGCTATCAGTTCACCATGTTTTTTTGTGGAATTTCCAAACAGTCCTGTTCGAAGAACTGGAATTCTAAGAAAGGCTTCTTCAGTTAGGATCTCCTACCTGTAGTAAGCAGGATGGCTTTATCTGCTTTCACCACCTTGTTTATGCTGCCCAGTGTATTCTTCACTATGCATTCACATATTGTGGTGATTTTGGTCATTCATATCTTTAGAAGTGGTATGTAGTCAGGGCTCCACATGTGCTACAAGTATTCTCGTAGTACTTTCCATAGGGTTCAACATTCTGAAAGTTTCAGTCCAAGCCCTGTGAGATTCATGTATACAGTACATACATACAAAAAAAAAAATTCAAATGGAAGCTTCCTTGTCACAGAACTCCTTCTCTTTTCTTTTTTAGCAGAGCATAATAGCCTTGCATGCATGAAAGCTCACGAATAGCATGAATTTATTACGGGCAAATCTGTTGAGTGTTTAGATATAATGTGTCATACTTTGTCCTGATAGATAGGCTCCGCATAATACTTAGATCATTAGAAGGCTTGACAGATCTATTGCTTTTCAACTACATTTTTTTTGCCTCCACAGATATTGAATACATAGAAATTCGGTCTGATGCAGATGAGAATGTCTCTGCTTCTGACAAGAGGAGGAATTATAATTACAGAGTAGTCATGATAAAAGGAGACACTGCTCTAGATATGAGGGGTCGATGCAGTGCTGGTCAAAAGGTAGGTAACTACACTTTGCTTTGGTCCCAGTAGCAACCCATGTATGGCCTGTAGCCTCCTAAGACCATTCAGGAACATAATAAAAATAATTTATTGTCATTGTAAGTATATACACAGTATACCCATACAACGAAATTCACAGACACCCAGAGACCAGACACATGCACACACATAAAATTCCCCAAACACTCCCCACCCACTAAAAGTCCCCCACTAAAAATACAAACATCTACACCGCAGGCCAAGTAACACAGTCCAACTAATTATTCACTACTGGTGGTCTTTAAGCTCATTATTAATTTCAATTATAGCTCTGGGATAAAAACTATATAGAAAACGTGTGGTCCGAGTCTTAATTGTTCTGTATCTTCTGCCAGACGGTAACAGTTCAAAAAAATTATAAGCAGGATGGGAAGAGTCTCTCAGGATGCTGTGTGACTTCCTCAGACAGCGGGATGTGAAGATGTCATCCAGGGTTGGTAGCTGGAGCCCGATGATATTCTGGGCAATTTTAATGGTTCTCTGTAGAGCTTTTTTGTCCGCTACAGAGCTACTCCCAAACTATGCCAGAATGCCATAGGTTAGGACACTCTCAATGGTGCTACGATAGTAGGACAGAAGTAAATGCTGAGATAAATTTAACTTGCCGAGCATTCTCAGGAAATACAGCCTCTTCTGTGCCTTCTTCATTAGCATGTTGGCATTTATAGTCCATGAGACGTAAGTACCCAGAAATTTAAAACTGCCAACTCTCTCCACTTCCTCACCGTTTATGTACAGTGGTAAATGTACTCTTCCTTCTAAAATCAATTATGAGTTCTTTAGTGAGATGACTTTCTTTACACCAAAGTATCAACCTTTGTACATATTTATTTATTTAAAATATTTTTTTCCTACCTTTCTTCTTAAAAAGAACTCAAGGCAACTTAGATTCCTAAGACCATTTTTGAAGTCATAAGAACATAAGGAAGAGCCCTGCTGGATCAGGCCAAGGGCCCATCTAGTCCAGCTCCCTGTATCTCACAGGGGCCCCACCAGATGCCTCTGGGAGCACACGAGACAGTTAGATACCTGTCTCCTGATACCCCTCCCCTGCCTCTGGCATTTTGAAGTCCCCACCCCTTCCTCCTACAAATTGTGCTGGCAAAGCCCAGCTTCAAATCACTACATCAGATTTCTTCAGTAAATTTCATAAGGTTTTTTTAAATTGCTACTGAATGTCAGTGGCAAACCAGGAAAACACCTTAACAAATAGCATTTCCTGCTTTTTAAGAAAGGGGCTTTTCTCAGTCAGCTGCTGAAATTCAGGGGTGTGCTTTGCTAGTGAATTTTAACAGCAAGGGGGATGCAGCACATAGTGCATCTTGGAGGAGCAAATTTGGTCCCCAGGTTTGACGAAGCTGTCTAGTCCTGCTGTTAACATTTGTATTGGGTACTTTGGCAGTTAATATATATTTTGTGGTGCTGGATTAAAATACCCACCAAAAATGTACTCAGGTTAATGAAGCAGTAGCTTTTCATGGAATGGAAAAGAACACGTTAATTTCACAAGGCTTTCTGTTATGTGGGATGCTGGCAGCTGGCTCCCTTGTGGCAGATCTGCATGGGGAACACATTCGTATGAATGTCCAGAACAAATTTCATTGGTGAACCAAGGAAGACCCAGGAGGTCTTCAGTTAATTATTGATTTCCATGTATTGGGAAATGGTTAATGTCCTTTAGACAAGCCAGGAGAAAAAGTAAACTTTTATCCAGAGCTTCATATAGTGGCTTGTTTCAGACCCATTAACTATCGTTTCTAGTTTCTCTTATAACTGTTAGCTATGGTTAATATAGGTATGGAACTAATATATGAAGTTTGGCTTGCTTCTTATCTTAGGTTGTTCTTTTTTTAACCTTTTTATTTTATTTTTATCAGTCCATTCAAAATAGCATAACAGAACAATACCTATTGTATTACAATAATAGTACCTTTCTTATTCTCTCTTATACAGTACCGTCATATATACACAATGTTAACATGATCTCTTTCTCGTTTCATTTAGTCTCTTCCGTAGTTATTGATTTCCATCTATTGGGAAATGGTTAATTACTGTCTATACAGTAATTATGTAGCTCTGTTAATGAGGTATTAGGTCCTGATGTATACAATTGAGTTGCAGCATTTCTTATGTGAAATAATTTAAATCAGTTACTGCTATTTCTGTAGTTTTTTTTCTTGTAACTATCAAATTGTAATTGGTTTTCGTTGTACAAACAGATCTTTTATTCTATAAATTTCTATTTCCTTCTAAAGTTTAAACTGAAAAATTTTACCTTTAGATTTGAACTGTGGGTGTTGTAAACAAGGACATAAAGGGCATATTGGAAGGATAAGACTTCTCATATACCTTCACCATATTCTCATTGCTTCTATAGTAAAAGGGTTCTGTAATTGAGTCCCGTTTCCTAGCTTGTTTGAAAGACACTTATCTGCTTCTGTTGTAATAGGAAACGGTAGTTCAGTGAACACCTCCTGGCCTTTTCACAAGTTCAGTCAAGGAGCAAACCAGCGGTTTGCAAGACTAAGATACTTTGGTTTATTTCATTAGAAAAACAAGACTATATCTGGCCAATTTAAGTCCCATGATACTGCTATAGATCAGTGGTACCCCACCTTTTT